ATATATATTTCCATGTTTTCGTGCTAAATCTTCATGAAAAGCTATAATTGTATTAGCTTGTTGATATCGACGTATTTCAGGAAGTTGACCAAATAAAGGTACAAATGGTTCACCATTGATTCCTTGTGCACGCAATACATCATAGAGATATTTCTCAGGACGAATGAGTTTTACATAGATAATAACAATAGCAAGTAAGATAATAGTAACGAAGATGTAGAATACAATTTGGAATAGCATGAGAATAACAATAGTGAAGTAATAAACTACAGACCGTGTTTTACACTCTCTATAAAATGAGACATAAAATATAGATAATGTTTTTGTAATGTGCGTAGTATTTTTTCGATTTAGGGCGGGCAGATTTTATGTGGAGAAAGAAAAGAAAAAGTCTATATATGTGTCTGAATTGTGCTACTAAACATGCTTTTTTTATACGTGTTTTAAGGTAAGAGAGATATTCTTCACAAGACAACAACTAGATGTCTGGGAATGTTTTCAAGTTAAAATATATTCTGATAAAATGATTTATTTAATTTGTTTTTTCCTTGGAAAAATTTACAATTTATTTATATTCGAAATATTGTTTGATCTACAGTAATATACAAATCTGTTTCATCTATTTTTAGTGTTTCTCTAATGGCGTATATTATTTAAAATGTAGCTAAAACTTCTCTCGAGCGTCTTAATGAAGATATTTTTCATAATATTTAACATTGATACTCCTGTTGTCAATATTTACACAAGAGTTCTTCTTATATACAGGATGTTGATTATCCAATCATCTCCTTGTATTCATGGTAAAGACAATCAAGCTGTTTCTGGACTCAGCTGGGCACAGATTTGTAAATATTCTGTTAATCGGATCCAAAAATTTTGGACCCACTGGGTTCTAGCCGTCTAACAAATATGTAGGGTGCGCTAATCACCGAATACAAAACATGGGTGAAAAGTATCTTGTATCTCTGAGGCGACTATCCAATTCCGATTAGAAAATGTTATTGCAAGTATCAAAGTACAGTTTGATCAGGTGCAAGAATTTTGCATCCGACGGTTTCTATTTACTGGTGTACTAAAGACAGCATATTTCAGAATGAGATCAATTCCAATTATGGCTCTAATAAAAACTTTATTAATTACAACCAGCATGTCTTTTTTTCCTTTAATACTCTCTAATCTTTCTGGAAATAGAGAGAATACATCTACGATTAACTAAACACAATATTAGATCATTGATATGGATTTTAATTTGACGCTCTAACCACTTTTTTCATTTCAAAATCTATTCAGTAGGATCAATACTATCAAATATTTACTCATGCATTTTATATAATTGTATTGTAATTTATGATATTTGATTCTCTATTTGTTGACTATATTTTCTAATTTTTGTTATTTTTAGATGTGCCAATCGCTCTCTATAACTTTCTTTCCGAATTCAGTACTCATTCAATTGGTTACAAATCATTAGACAATTTTGTAATTCTGTATGTAAAAAAACTCTTTAAGAAAACATTTCATTGGAAATATTTTAGTTGACAAATTATTAATAAATATAGACTTCTGAAAATGTCAAACGAACGTTCTGAATAATTTAGAAACAATAGTTATATTTATGCAATCTATGATAACATTCTTAATGATTTTTGAATAAATCTTCATAAGATACACAATAGGAGTCTAGAAACATTATTGTATGTTATTTGTCAGTGCACATATTTTATTAAGTATTTATAGAAAAATTAAAAAAATAACATATTTATCAAAGAAGTCAATATTGATATTCGAATTAGAAGTATTCGCTAAATAAATTTACTTCATATGATAGATATGCATTCATATCTAACGTTTACTAATTCTTGCTAAAAGACCATATTTTGTGCGCATTGTAATTTTAAAATCCGGTATTATTTTTTGTCCTGGTATCATTTCAAAATTACATCGTTGAACAAACATAGCTAAGATAATTTTTGCTTCTAATAAAGCAAAATTTTGTCCAATACAGTTACGTGGACCAGCAGCAAATGGAAGATAAGCAAATGGATGAGGTAATTTTGGTTTCAAACCTGTTTTAGGATCACGTAACCAACGTGTATAATCAAATTGATCTGATTGAGGCCATAAATCACTTCGACGATGAAGAAGATAACTGTTGACAGTTATTGTCGTTCCCGCAGGTATACGTAATTGACATTCAGCGTCAATAACATGTTCACGTATACAATGACATGAGGAAAAATGGTGCTGATGGATAAAGACGAAGTGTTTCATTTATGATAGCTTCACATATGACCAATGCAGGAAGATTTTCATTCGTAGGTTCTATGTCATTAGGTAAAACTCTATCAACTTCTTCTCGACAAGCTTCAAATACATCTTTATGAGTCATTAAAATATAAAACATCCATGTCATAAGATTACCAGTAGTTTCACTACCAGCAAGTACAAATGTAAGAGCGTGTTCTTTAATTTCTTGATCAGTAAATGATTTTCCTTCATTATCAACAGTTGAAAGAAGTAAATCAAGAAGATCAGGACCATTAGATAGACTAGTTGTATCTCCTTGTCTTCGATCAGTAATTATTTTATCAACTAACTCACTTATCATTCGAGCTCCATTATCAACAATATTTTTCTTCAAGAAAGGAAATTTTGATATAAAAGGTATTTGATTAATCATCAACATTGAACGATAAATAATAGCTTCAAGTACTTCACCAAATGTTTGAGTAATAATCTCTTGAGCATTTGCAATTGTTTCAAAATCTGAACCAAATGCACTTGATGCAATAATTGATAATGTAAGTGCATTAAATTGATATTGTAGATCAATTGATATTTGTTCTGATTGATCTAAAGTTGATCTTTGCAAAAGTTTTTGAATCGTTTTTGTAGTTTGATCAGTAATAATTGAAACTATTGATTTAAGATTTGTATGATAAAAAGCAGGATTAATCATATGTCTTGCTCGTTCATGTTCATGACCTTCAGATACTAATAAATTTTGTTTACCAATAATTGGAGTGAAAATAGTACTAAAAAAAAGGTGGTTTAATATAATTTTGTACATTTGTTCGACTAAATATATCAGCAAGTAAATCAGGTTCAGTAATAACGAGACGTGTTAATGGACCAAAAGAAAATAGATATATATTTCCATGTTTTCGTGCTAAATCTTCATGAAAAGCTATAATTGTATTAGCTTGTTGATATCGACGTATTTCAGGAAGTTGACCAAATAAAGGTACAAATGGTTCACCATTGATTCCTTGTGCACGCAATACATCATAGAGATATTTCTCAGGACGAATGAGTTTTACATAGATAATAACAATAGCAAGTAAGATAATAGTAACGAAGATGTAGAATACAATTTGGAATAGCATGAGAATAACAATAGTGAAGTAATAAACTACAGACCGTGTTTTACACTCTCTATAAAATGAGACATAAAATATAGATAATGTTTTTGTAATGTGCGTAGTATTTTTTCGAT